TTAATCTCCACGTTTCGAATAACCTGCTACGCGCAGGGGTACTGGCACGGGACAAGATCAAAGTTGGTGAAAATAAATGTTCGCTTAATCCTATTATATTTGTAGGAGGTTGAATGATGAGATTACTAGTAGGTAAGTAAAATCGTTATTGTATTTAAAATCGTCAATACAATGTCCTAGTCGTAAAACGGTGTGTGTAACGTCGTTTGGTCACAGTTTATAATAATCCGTTTGCGATCGCAGTTTATAATAATCCGTTTATTTATAGTCGTCAGGGGGAAGTCGGAAGATTCAAATTTGTCTTTGTTTTACGGTTACATGTAGCGGCGACGTTGTTTTGCTCGCAGTTTGTTTATTCTTACATTATACGTAACCTAACGAACTTTATACCCCGAAGCGAAACAACAACACGATTTGAATCGAATTCTAACTCTTGTGCCGCTACATCACCCCCCTACCGGTGATAACGTTTTTATTGCATTTCCCTTGAAAGGGAAGTTCGTTGCGGGTGTTCGTCTGTTCTACTGGAATAAGCATGTCACTGCTGTCTGTTCTACTGGAATGAGCTGTCTATGTAGGCGTTCTACCATCCCATTAGACGCAGGATGATAGGCCGATGTGCGTAGGTGCGTGACGCCGAGCAACCGGCACAACTCTTCGAACAGACGCGATTCGAATTGGCGTCCTTGGTCGGTTGTTATTTTTAAAGGGACGCCGAAACGAGAAATCCAAGTCGATAGGAGGGCCGCAGCAACGGTTGGCACTTCCATGTCGGCAATGGGAACGGCTTCTAGCCAGCGCGAAGAAACGATCAATACACGTTAGACAGTATGGAAAGCCCTGTGAATACTGCATTACGATAATATCCACGTGTATATGCTCGAATAGGCCTGCTAATGTTCCGAACGATCCAACTGGTGATGATACATGCCTGGTGACTTTATTACGTTGGCACGGTATACATTGCCGCGTCCACGTACGGCAATCTTTGTTTACAGACGGCTAGACAAAACGCGTCGTCACCAGCTTTTCCCGGATGGGAAAGTCCGCGTAACGACTGAAACACGTTGTGTCGTAACGTTGTTTCCGTACGAACGACCGCAAGGTTCCGGTCGACGTGTCGCGGTATATTTCGGTGTCTTTTTCAGGAAATCGGATCTTCTCAAGCCGCAGCGTGCGAGAATCGGAATTGAGGATTTGGCGTAGTTCATCGTCGTTATCTTGCGCTACTGCTAACGTTCGATGATCTACCGCGTTTTCGATTGTCCCGATACGGGCTCCGCAGGGAGGACTTGCTTATGTAAGTCTATGGGGGCTGGCAAACCCACGTTCCCGCAGCCAGGGAGGACCGTCGGGACAAGCGTCCCGCTTACGAGAGTCCTCTATATACACCGCAAGGAAGGTCGTCGGGAGTGTAGGCGAGAGGCTCGTCTATGCTTTCTCTACGTGGCCTTGGGTAGTAGCGCACCCACGATCCTGACGCCAAGGATAGGACCGCCGGGATAAGTTCCCGGGCACTTTGTGCCTTGAGGCCCCCGCTTACGTGAGTCCTATCTGGATCTGTCGAGTACGGTTAGCAGGTCGCCGGCTGGCAGTGACGTGGCGGTACATCCACACGATAGTCCCACCAATGACTTAGGATGGTACCACGGGCGGTCGAGTGTAAGCTCGGAGGGAGTAGTGACCCCTCTGCTCGGCCAATTATGGGTTTGGACTCGTGGTGGCAGTGGTTGATGGCCAAGATGCTGGCAAGAGGGCCGATTTAGGGGGCAATGGCTCGCCCCGAATGGCCTTCGGCGGGTGAGCAGCGTCCCACCTGCTCCGGAACCGTCCTGGTGAGACGGTAGGGCGGGCCGCAGCAACGGTTGGCACTTCCATGTCGGCAATGGGAACGGCTTCTAGCCAGCGCGAAGAAACGATCAATACACGTTAGACAGTATGGAAAGCCTTGTGAATACTGCATTACGATAATATCCACGTGTATATGCTCGAATAGGCCTGCTAATGTTCCGAACGATCCAACTGGTGATGATACATGCCTGGTGACTTTATTACGTTGGCACGGTATACATTGCCGCGTCCACGTACGGCAATCTTTGTTTACAGACGGCTAGACAAAACGCGTCGTCACCAGCTTTTCCCGGATGGGAAAGTCCGCGTAACGACTGAAACACGTTGTGTCGTAACGTTGTTTCCGTACGAACGACCGCAAGGTTCCGGTCGACGTGTCGCGGTATATTTCGGTGTCTTTTTCAGGAAATCGGATCTTCTCAAGCCGCAGCGTGCGAGAATCGGAATTGAGGATTTGGCGTAGTTCATCGTCGTTATCTTGCGCTACTGCTAACGTTCGATGATCTACCGCGTTTTCGATTGTCCCGATACGGGCTCCGCAGGGAGGACTTGCTTATGTAAGTCTATGGGGGCTGGCAAACCCACGTTCCCGCAGCCAGGGAGGACCGTCGGGACAAGCGTCCCGCTTACGAGAGTCCTCTATATACACCGCAAGGAAGGTCGTCGGGAGTGTAGGCGAGAGGCTCGTCTATGCTTTCTCTACGTGGCCTTGGGTAGTAGCGCACCCACGATCCTGACGCCAAGGATAGGACCGCCGGGATAAGTTCCCGGGCACTTTGTGCCTTGAGGCCCCCGCTTACATGAGTCCTATCTGGATCTGTCGAGTACGGTTAGCAGGTCGCTGGCTGGCAGTGACGTGGCGGGACATCCACTGTCGAGTACGGTTAGCAGGTCGCTGGCTGGCAGTGACGTGGCGGTACATCCACAGGATAGTCCCACCAATGACTTAGGATGGTACCACGGGCGGTCGAGTGTAAGCTCGGAGGGAGTAGTGACCCCTCTGCTCGGCCAATTATGGGTTTGGACTCGTGGTGGCAGTGGTTGATGGCCAAGATGCTGGCAAGAGGGCCGATTTAGGGGGCAATGGCTCGCCCCGAATGGCCTTCGGCGGGTGAGCAGCGTCCCACCTGCTCCGGAACCGTCCTGGTGAGACGGTAGGGCTTAGAATCGCCCCGTTCGACCTGTAACGAGCGACAGCCCTTGCAGGCTTAGCTAATCAAGGTAGCAAGGTACTGGGTGCCTTGCGCGATGGTTGGGCGTATCCCAACCCCTATGGCCCTAGGGGTACACGGGTTCTGTATGGCGATAAGTTGACGCCGAGGAAAGCACCCGTAAACAAAGGCAGACAATACTTGTCCTAGTTCCGGGCGTATTTCGTGGATGCTGTCGGCGATCGTGGTCAGAGTTTCGGGCCTCTTATCCTGGGCGGAGGCCAGGACGCACTGCACGTGCACCGGGAGTCGGCCTTCCCAGAGAGTCCGGATAAGTTCGTCCGATATTGCAGAGGCGGCGAGGCTTTTCAGGTCCCTGTAAAATTGGGAAGGCGTCCTGTCGCCTAGTTGTTCGCTCTCTATTATTTTACATAGGTGTCGGGCGTCTGACTCGCCCAGCCTCTTAATGAGTTTCTTTTTGAGGATTTCGTACTGCCCGCTCTCCGGTGGATTGGATAAGGTGTCGCGGATGAGTCGAACATAAGGTTTATCGATATTCGCGATGGCGGCATTATATTTGGCCTCCTCACTCGTAATACGGGCGTGTTTGAACTGTGCATCTAACACATTAAACCACAGCTCTACATCATCCGCTCAGAACGGTGGTATGCGGAACTGAGCGTTTTCCGCGTCCACGTTACTGAGCTCGTTTTTGCCGGTACTCATCATCTCGAACGCTCTAATACTCGCGGAATTCGAAGTCTTATCGACACTCTCCCGGTTATCTCTATCACTTTTATCACGTCGGGGTCACCAATTTGTAGGAGGTTGAATGATGAGATTACTAGTAGGTAAATAAAATCGTTATTGTATTTAAAATCGTCAATACGATGTCCTAGTCGTAAAACGGTGTGTGTAACGTCGTTCGGTCACAGTTTATAATAATCCGTTTGCGATCGCGTCCGTTTATTTATAGTAGTCAGACGGAAGTCGGAAGATTCAAAATTGTCATTGTTTTACGGTTGCATGTAGCGGCGACGTTGTTTTGCTCGCAGTTTGTTTATTCTTACATTATACGTAACCTAACGAACTTCATACTCCGAAGCAAAACAACAACATGATCTAAATGGAATTCTAACTCTTGTGCCGCTACATATTATTAGACAAATATTCTCCACAACAAATGTCTATTCTAATTCTAATTGGGTATTGACAGAATTGTCGGCGAATATTCGAAGTTACAATCGTTCGCGCTACGTTTTCACTCTTATTAATTACAAGATTTTAATTTAATTCATTTTCAATAATTTACAAATTGACAAATACAAACAAGTCGATTAACAAAACTGACAAGAACAGGGAACTAATGAAACAAAGAACTAAAAGCAAAAGAACTAAAGGACTACAGAACTTAAGAACTAAGAGCAAAAACTAAGAGCTAAGAAAACTAAGAGCTGAAAAACTAAGGAACCAGAGAATTGAAAGACAAAGGAACTGAGAAATTAAGAGCTAAAGGAATTGAGAACTAATCGCTATGAACAAAGCAATTATTTGCCAAGAACCAAGGAACTAATCACCAAGAACTGAGGAACTAATCACACAGAACTGACGATTTAACTACTCTGAACTAAGGAATTACCTCTCTATCTTCTATGTCGCTAAGCTTATTTATAATTAGATTTAACGTGGAGGGGTCGTCGTGTGACGGGTTATTCCGTGAGGGTTGTGAGGCTCGAATTTGGTTTCTATACAAATTGTTAAAGTTTATTTGAATCTCAAATTGAGACGCTCACTCGCGCTATTGGTAGTTTTAGTCTACGTTACGGCGCGTACGCAGCGCGGGACGTGACAATATAATATGTAAATAAAATTGCCCAGGCGTTGCCTATCCGTATTTATTAATTTTCTTGACCTTGTTAACGACGTAAATGCAAATACATAAGCAAGAAAAATAATTGAGATGGGAGTATCTGAATCAAAGAATACAATTTATCTCACATTATGATCATATAGCATAACAGATTCAAACCTTTTATGAGTGCGAACAGTGTTCGTAACGATCTTTAACTAGCAACAGCTAAGACTGGATGCGGTGCTATCAAGGCCCTCGATAATACGCGTAGCAGTTAGCAGTCATCGAAAAAATTTATATCTTTTTGTTCTTATAATCAACAAAAATAAAAAATCACTGTGGAAACGTAAAAGTGACCATTTGATTGTGCAAGAAAACTTACGATGAAGAAGCTGTATCTGTGCCTTGTATTGGAATTATGCGTGCTGACCATGTCGCAAAGAACTGCCTTGGATACGTCGATTCTCAATTCCATCTACCGTGGATATCGTAATTGGTTAACGCAATCCTACGGTACGTCTGTTTTAGTTTATTTCGTGTTACGTCTTTATGCAATAATATCACTTCCTTTTGGTTAGAGAGATGCTTTTTGGAGGAATTGAAATATTGTGAATCTTATTTTTCATAGACTAATGTTTCATTGTGAATATATATATTTTCGCGATAAAATGATAAGTTGACGAAATTTTTTTCGGTAAAAGTAGACAAAAGCTTGCACAGCACGGATCATTTTTCTTTTAACATATAAATATTGTAGAGATTATATTTTCAAGTAACATGCGCTATGAATTCTGTGGCACCCTCTTCTCATTCTTGAGATGAGGAATTTTGTAAACAGTACTTATTTCGAAATTCGTAACGAAACTAAACAACAGTCCTGAAGTGTATTAAAAGTGACGACTTGTTAGGTAAATGTGAAATCAAAAGATGTCCATTTCCATTTGTTCTTAAAATACTGGTCAGTCTTGTTATACGAATATAAGAGGCAGCAACCTGATTGTGATTTCAGATGGAAATTGGGTTTTGGTTAAGTTAGTGACGGGCTGCGTGGGAAAAGTTGATACCTCGCCACTGAACGTCTTTACTTTATAGCATAAATCTTGAAAATATACAATAGCTCACGAAAGTTTTCACATACTATTAAAACTCTAGACGATTAAAATATGCACGTTAAATTTAAGAAGTGAAGACATACATCTGTATATCTAAAATTAAGAACGAATTCGATAACTTTTGTAAAAGTTCTGAAATCCTTCGTTGTAATTACTTGATCGGAATTATGACATATCGCGTGCAATGTTTCATCACAGATGAAGTATTTTTGTAAATTGTTTTAAAATAACTATTTTGTAGGCACAAGAAATGGCGATCGAATGTCCCAATTACGGAATAAATATAAATTTCAAAAGGAAGTTCCAATAGACGTCCCTTTTCCTTGCAATGTAACAGGTACTTAACCAAATTTATGATTATTATTGTCAAATACTCCATGATATCACTTGTAAATATTATATCGTCGTATTTATTCTTTAAAATCATTATTCAATTTAAATCGCAGATTTCTTTTATTTCCAATAATTTTTGCAATTTATCCTAGGGACAATCGGTAAATTTCTGTAGCAGGAAATTACAGTGAAGAACGCTGTTCTTTATAATTTGTAATGGCTACAAGAATCAATGTGATTTCGAGTTCATCCATAGTCTTGTCCTATTAATATCATTTTTGAAGATATATAACATTATAAGCTTCTCACCCCACTGTAGTTTAAGAATAACAAAATTGAAGCTCATCTTTTGAAGCTCATATGTATTCTAATGTCTTTACTTTAATTTGTTTAGCCGGCAGGTCTCCGAAAGTTCCCGAGTCGGTTCACCATTTAAAACCAGGAGACATAGATGTCATTGCCGCAATGGGTGATTCCTTGACAATCGGCGCTGGAGTTACTTCGATTTATACGTTCGAAGTGAACATTGAAAATAGAGGCATAGTGGGTAGTATCGGCGGTCAAGGAACTTGGCGGGAGTACCTGACTCTCCCTAATATTCTTAAAGTATGTTCATTTTTTACATCTGTATTGTTTACGCACATGATGTGTGTTATCGCCATAAATGCGAATACTGAAATCCTTCATAGTCCGATTTTTCTATATGCAGAAATTCAATCCTAAATTAATGGGTTATTCACTTGGAGACGCTATATGTACTGATCCAGCTGCGCAGTTAAACGTCGCCGAAGCTGGAGCTATGTCTAAAGATATGACTTTCATGGCGACATATCTGGTCAATAAAATAAAAGTTGACCCGAGAGTAGATATAAACAAACATTGGAAGGTTCGTATGTTGGTAGACAAAGTAATTATATATTATACATATTTACTACATGACAAGTGGTGTTTTAATATGCATATGATCATTGAAATTAACAACTGATTAATGGAACATAAATTCACATAAAATCTAAATTATTCACCTTTACCATTTTTATTCAAATATTAAAATAAAAATTAGACAAGGCCTTTATACGTTCATTAATAAAGAATAAAGATCATAATGAAATTATTGGCATTATAATTCGAGTAGTATTTCACTGCAGTTCTGGTGAACTATTTTCAAAAGTTAATTACATTACCTTTTATTCACTAGAAACACACTTGCAATATAATTAAAAATTACAATTACAATTTAAAAAGATTAGATGCAAGTATGAAATTGCAAGTATAAGATGCAAGTATAATTTCATTTATTGTTTAATCGTTTACGCAATAGTATCTACATTTTTATGTTTTCCAGTTGATTTCGTTGATGATTGGAAGTAATGATTTTTGCTCTAATATGTGTGCAACTTCTTCTCCATGGACTATGTTAAATGATCACAAAATAGATTTAATTCATACTCTTAGAATATTAAGAGACAATTTACCAAGAACTTTTGTTGCTCTTATACCACCACCTCACTTAAAGGAACTGGTTGCTGCACACAAAGGAAGAGAGTCATTCCTGTGCTATTTGGCATCCATGATTGAATGCTCATGTATGTTTGCTTTACAATTTAGGGATCAAAGACCGGAATATTATAAATTAATTGAGAGGTTTGTATAATTTTCCGAATTTAACTTTTTAAATATTTTGTGCTTGAGGATTAAACACTTACAAGAATTTTGTTATATCATACTTTATATTTAATCTTAGTAATTATAGATAAAAGGGGCTACAATTCCCATTTTAATGAAACTTAAGTATGTTGTGAAACTCAACATTTTTCCTATAGGGGGTAAACTCACTTAGTTTCCGAAATATTTAGAGAAAGCTGCTGCTACTACTATGTTGAATCTGACTTATAAGGCATGGTGTGACCACACATCTACTGTTGTGTGTCTATAAACACATCGCTGCGACCTGCAAATAATCTCTATAACGGGCGAACTGTTTAATACTTATCCTACCTAACTACTATTCTAACTACCTCGAAAACGTAAAAAAACATTTTGAACGCACAGGTCTTACATATATCAGCGGTTGTCAAAAACTATACAAAGCCGAACCCTATTCTAGAAAAGTATCAATACTGAGCAATCCAGTCGTCGCACCGTGAGGAGGCTGACTGCCATCAGACTTTAACGACGGCCTAATTGAAAGACCGATCTACATTCAATACGAATTGCGCTCTTGAACACGCATTTAGTTTTGCAACCTTCAACAAGTGATTCATGTACACACTTTTGAGCAAATACGAATTGGTCAACCATTTTTTGCTAGAACGCACAGTTTTTGAAAAACTCAATTTTGAGAAAAAATGTAAGAAAAATTCAAATTCGCAACTTCGCGAACGTTTTATTTTTTTACATTAGTAGCCATCGAGATGTGTTTTGGACAAAAAATACTGTGGCTCTCTTGAATAAAATGATATGTACTGTTATTGTATTATAGACATTTAAATATGTGTAAATAATGATTAAAGCGAGAAAAACGCTTAGAACGTGTCATTTTTTTTGCTTAAATTTTCCAACTTATTTCAAAAATTAAATGTCTACAACACTATCTAGAATCCAACACTAGCACGCGATAGAACAAACATTTTTGCTAAGAACAGCAATAGAGTCAGAAAATAATGTTTTGTTTTTAATGTAAATGCGAAGAAGTTTGGCAAAACACGCGGTGACGGCAATGGTACTCAGTGTTACCGAGTGTCTCACCTGTCACTCAGTATAATGGAACCGCAGAACGCGTGAGGCTATTAGCCGTCGACATTGACTAGCATTGCCTTCGTCCCGTATTTTGTCAAACCTTTTCGCTTTTCCAGGAGTTCATCCGTTATACAGATCGTTTCACACCAGCTATGATGTGTTTATAGAAACAGTGGATAAGCGATCGCACCACTCTCCATGGACTATGTTAAATGATCACAAAATAGATTTAATTCATACTCTTAGAATATTAAGAGACAATTTACCAAGAACTTTTGTTGCTCTTATACCACCACCTCACTTAAAGGAACTGGTTGCTGCACACAAAGGAAGAGAGTCATTCCTGTGCTATTTGGCATCCATGATTGAATGCTCATGTATGTTTGCTTTACAATTTAGGGATCAAAGACCGGAATATTATAAATTAATTGAGAGGTTTGTATAATTTTCCGAATTTAACTTTTTAAATATTTTGTGCTTGAGGATTAAACACTTACAAGAATTTTGTTATATCATACTTTATATTTAATCTTAGTAATTATAGATAAAAGGGGCTACAATTCCCATTTTAATGAAACTTAAGTATGTTGTGAAACTCAACATTTTTCCTATAGGGGGTAAACTCACTTAGTTTCCGAAATATTTAGAGAAAGCTGCTGCTACTACTATGTTGAATCTGACTTATAAGGCATGGTGTGACCACACATCTACTGTTGTGTGTCTATAAACACATCGCTGCGACCTGCAAATAATCTCTATAACGGGCGAACTGTTTAATACTTATCCTACCTAACTACTATTCTAACTACCTCGAAAACGTAAAAAAACATTTTGAACGCACAGGTCTTACATATATCAGCGGTTGTCAAAAACTATACAAAGCCGAACCCTATTCTAGAAACGTATCAATACTGAGCAATCCAGTCGTCGCACCGTGAGGAGGCTGACT